CTGAAATTTTTATTTAGATATATTTATTGTGATAGGATAGTAAAAAGAGAGAGAGAGAGAGAGAGAAAGAGGGAGAAGAAGAAATAAATGTTCACTATATGACCTGAATTAATTTCAGGTTCTATTTTGTTTTATGTATAAATACAGATTGAAATATTGGACAAAAATTAAAATGGCAGTTATTTTAACTATCCTAATTTTTTCAGCAAACAAAACATAGTATTGCAGTATTATGTTAATATTTAATGTTCAAATTCACCAATTTTAAAATATTTCCAACAGAAAAATGTTTTCAAAAAATGTTTTCATTTCGATAATTTTTGCGTAATGAGAATATTTCGATATTCTAATTACCGAAATAAACCTTATTAATTTAATTTGACCTATTGAACGAATAATCATAATTAAAGATAGAAAATATTTAAAAAAAAAACGTGTTCAAAATAATAATCAATGAATAATATATCATTTATGAAGTGAGAAATAAAAAAAGAATGAAGAAAAAAAATCTTTTTAATGAGTATAAAGTTTTTTCAAAGATATCATGACAGAATTTAGAAAATTACTTAAGAGAGCTTAGAGAGGAATATTTTAATTTTTTTTTAATATTCAAAACATATACAGGAATAGTTGAACGACAAAATATGCAAACATGATTTGTATTTGCAGAAAAATGAGGTGACATATTTAAACAATTTTTTTTCAAATCTAATAATACGTTGTTTCTAAGGTCATGATGGATACTAGGAAGTTAAGACAAAGTGAAATAAAATGTCTATCTTATGTAATGCAATTCTCTAAATTTTAAACTTTATTGATAAAGTAATTTATCAATTTATCTCTAAAGGAATTTAATAGTGATCAAATGAAAAAAATGATCGCAAATTATGATTAGAAAAAAAAATAAATTTTAACGAATTATTTATTGCAGTATTATGGAAATTTTGGACTCTGCAAAATATAAAATGATATTTTTAAAAAAAAAAGAACTAATAAATTGCCTTAATGTTAACTTTTAATGACCTATTATTTTTCAATTATACTTTAAATTTCTTTTCACATCATTAGTTAAATTTATGAATTGTGATATTTTGTGTAAAATTACGAACAAGAGAAATATTTCATCAAAAAAAAGCTATTATTGTATATTCTAAAGAAATATTGAAATTTTTACTTGAAATAGAAAAAAAAAGAAGTAATTGATAATGTCTGATTCAAAGAACGGCAAAACGACATGACACTATGAACAAATATATTCCACAACAATTTTATTTAACAAAATCATCTTTGCTGAAATTTAAAAGAAAAAACTCCCATCACTGTTTCTTCTTTTCATAATTGTATAATTGCAGTTGAGTTAATTGGATATTACAAAATTTGATCTTCTTAGAATGAGAAAATAATTTTTCATTTTCACGGATAATACGACATAGCATCGTAAAATCAGTGCTGTCATCATTATGAATTTTTAATTTGATAAAAGAAAATTCAAATTTTTGCAAATTACAAATTACAAATCAGCCAATATGACTATCTTTTTAGCATCGTATATCTTTTGATGGTGTTTACCAGTGGTGTATTGATGTTGAATTACTATTAGAATGTATTAAAGTGGAACGGAACATTTCCCTGATATTTTATTGCGACTATTTATCCATTTATCGTCAATGATGTCGATAATTGTTGGAATAATTGACAGTCTGTGAATTTCACATTTTTGTGCATCGTAATGTATGGCATAGCGTTACTTAATCTTCCTTTTTTAAATAATTTACAGCATTCAATAGAGAAGTTGTAGAAGAGTAAATACAGTCATATAAGCAATTGTCTCAATTACTCTTGTCATTTAAAAACCAAATATCGGAAATTTTTCATACGTATCAGAAATTTCTGACATTCAAGAATTTTTTACATAAAATCTAATCGAGATTACCAAACAACTCATAAATAACTGATATATGTATGTCGCATAAAAATTTTTTTTACAGCTGCTTGACATAATACGAATAAGAGATATGAAGTTTCAAGAAATGATTTGTAAGATGATATATATTTTGCAAAAAAAAAAATTATTTTTGCAATGACTGAAATTAGCAAGTGATTACAGTGCACAAATTTAGATATTATCAACCTGAAATAAAATAAATGATCAGGTGTCAAAATAACTAGAAAATGAGAGAGGATTGAAAGTCACCCTCAAAAAAAGTGAAAGTCACTCTTTGAGAGTAAAAGTGAAAGTCATTCTCAAATATGAAATATTTTAAGAGTTTCGATATAAGAAGCGATTAAACTCTCGTGATCAAAAATAACGCTGTTTGTTGATGTTCATCCAATTCTTTGCAAATAAATCGACTTAAAAGAATCTTATCAAAGAACATGGGATTAAGGAAGTTGGGTAACCCAAAAACATATCGCAACGGGAATTAAACTAGCTCGAACGACATATCAGCAATATTTTCATCCGTAAATAGCGCCTTGAAAGCTGTATCTGCAAAATCCGCATAAAATTTGCAAGCACGATCGCAATCAGGCATGAAATTTCCCTCGATAAATGAGACACAAATTTTACGCGTAGCGAGATCTGGAAATATAAATTGCACGATTTTAGTAAAACTGCATATAAATATGAAAATATTGGCTTCAATCAATCAACAGAACCACATCAATCAAATTGCTAATATAATCACTGAAACGTAACGTAAAATTGGACAACGATGAATTTCATAAATTCAGAAAGTAATCTAAAATCATTTTTTTGATCTGCAATAGCACGACTATCAAAACGAAAGCTAAACATACACTGAACTAAAAACTGCTTAAACTAGAGAAAGAAATAATCTAAATCAATAAATACCAGGTTTTTCAAAATTTAGAAATGTAGCCCGAAAGAAGGTCAAAGTTAGCAAAATCAAAATATTTTAATGCTTTGCTACACCAATGCTTATTCAAGTTTCTGAAAAACAAACCATCAGAGTCCCACTTCAACATTATGTCTATTCCATACATTGCTCGAGACTGTGCATTTGGTGCGATTCCGCGAGGAGGGCTCTCCCTGAAAAAACTTTATTACGAATAACCTCCTCTAAAATATTAGAAGATTAAGAAAATAAAAACAATTTCTGGTTACCATTTCCTTTCTTTTCCTCTATCTCTGGTTGCCTGAAATTCGAGAAATATTTTAAACAATCGTACCTAGATACAGTTTTAATCACATCTTTGATAACTTCATTGATTTTCTTTTGTATTTCGCTCCATTTCACAGCATACAGTTTCTCCCATTGGTCAATAAAATCTTTGCAGTCCATCTTCGGTCAAATGGAAAATATGAATTAACATACAAAATTTAATCCAATTAACTTCATAAACATTCTTATGATAAAATTAAAAAATAAAAAATTAGCCACAATGAAAATAATTTACTCATAGTAAACATATATTTCGACTGAAACAAAAATGGATATTCCGAATAGAAACACAATCAAAAATAATGAAAACAACTTACGTTTAGAACTTTCTCACCCTCATTATAATTGAATACTGTGAAATGAGTATCACGATCATCCAATTCGGAAAGGGAAAAATCACTGAAAGTGAAACATTTAAAACACTTTAGCCAGAAAAAGTAACTGTGAAGATACTGAAATAATGTTGTCACTTTTAGATAGATTCATTTAATGCAAAGCATATCCTGATTACAGTACGAATGTATGGCAACCATACAACTATTCTGTTTAAATCGCCAACTAATTGGATGCTTGAATTTCTTAGCACCGGCTTTTCAATATAGGCAGTTCTTTTAGAGCCTTCGGAGCAGTATCAGTGAATCAGAGGTACACTCAACAGCTCTTATTCCTAAAGCTTAATACTCGCCAAATTCTAAAGAAAATGACTTTTTAAGCAAACATTTCATTGCAAATGACCTACTTGATTGCAAATCGTACCCAAAAATTTTTGTACAAAAACAGCTTCAGTGGTTGTAAACAACGCAAAAATATGATATAACGTAAGTCAAATTTCACCATATTACCACTGTCAGGCCTTCGAAATAGGACAGGTCGATGAATATATTTGCACGCAATCTAAAAAATCATTTTTGCACGCAAACTAAAAAAAAAATTATCTTGTATATAGATTGAGAAAGCATCTGTTCAATTTATTATTTAGAGTACCTTAGGTCCACTTTCGATAAGACGGATAATATAGGATAAATTATCAGTCACGTGTATATCAAGACCTCGTGCAAGATTCCATGGCTTTACTATCCAGGTATTATCCATATTCCTGAATAAATGAGATTACTATGATAAATTGTGAAATACAAACTGCGTTTCTAAGACCGCCTGAATATGAAACATATTTTGCCATTAAGAAGTTCAAAATTAAACATTGGAAATACCTTTATCAGAATTAAACTAACTTTTTTTAGATTTATAGCATTCGTTAGAAAAATTAACACTGACTTCTGAAATTAATATTGGTTCATCTTCATTAAAGAACTGCCCTTTAGATAGCCCAAATTTTAATGCATCAGCATTGGTCGAGATCTGTCACTTACATGAATTACATTTAAAAAATTGGAAAATAAAAGCGAACTTGAGTGCTCGTTGTTGATAATACGCTACAAACTGCGGCAATTCAATTTCAAGATTGAATGTTGTTTCGAACCACAGTGGTTCCCAATGCATCAGCTTCGGATCTAGCACACTATCACGATATACTGATTGTATTGTCGCCGACAATAAATCTTTTACCGTCAACACACTATCGTACGGGAATTGATTTATCAAAGCTTTCGGATTTTTCTCATACAAAAGTCTGAAATTAGAATTTCCCTTCTCAAAAATTGATTTTGAAGAAATCTAAATTTTTTTATTAACTTTCGCAGTACAAACTACGATTTGATCATACAATTTTACTCTCACATTTACGGCCATCATGGCCATGAAACCTTTGCAGTGCACCTGAGCAATACACCTGGATTAATCTCCAAAACTACTGAAGAGGATAATAAGTATTATTATCCTAATAAATAATAAGTATTAGATAACAAAATAATAAATATTAGATAATAATACGGGCATATCAGGACACAGCAAATCAGGATGAAAACAGCAAAACTGTTAATATAAAATTGAAAATAAATTACTTGTAATCGCTGAAATGTTTCCTCATCCATATGATATCAGCATCCTCGATGCAATTAACTTTTACAATTTCGATTATTTTTAAATTTGAAAAAAGTTGCAAATCGTCACCAAACACACGTACTTTCCCTGATGATAAATCAATACCGGGAACGTTATTTGGAGCATCTGGTGGGAAAATATCAGGGACACGACAGCGCTAAAATATATGAACAATGATGCAAATCATTCACGAAATCTTATTTGTGAAAGCATATATCGAAATATTCAGATCGCATATATTTCTTTCACATTCAAGTTAATGCTACATTCGTTTTTCTCATGAAAATATGAAATTTTTCATGCAATAAACTTTTATAACTTTTTAATTGTTTTTAAGCTTGAAAAAAATATGAAATCGCTTACTGTGAAATGTGAATCTGGAGCAACAATATGCTCAAGCTTTTCGCCTGTTAAATCTACAGGAGTCCACGGATGCATTAAAATATGACGCCATTCTGGATGAGTTCTCATGATTGTTGTGTCGACATAATCACGAGTAACAGTTCCTAAAAAATAATTTATGTTGATTACCTTTCCAAAACACAATCAATAACAAACTATCCAATCAAAAACTCATAAATTACCTTCAATTTCCACATTTTGAATGGGAAATAGCAAATTGTAAGCTATATTTTCTGGCATATGAAAGATAGGTACCATTCGACAGTTAGGCATATGACTATGACCAATTCGAACACCAAACTCATCAGGCATGTACCATAACGGCATATCGCATTCATCCGGTTCCTGGAAGAAAATCATTAAGTCGGAAAGAGTTTAATTTTATCAAATTCTCGCTAAATTTAATGCGAATAAAAATCAAATTAAGCATTTAAAATGAAATGAAATTTGATATGATGCAAAACCTTTGGATATTTTAGTACCTTTTCTACAAAACGCATTGTATAGGTATGAATATAACGCCACATATGACGCAAAACTTCATTTATTCGGTGTTCATCTTCTGAAACAGTAGTAAGACTTCCCGACATTGGGGTCCCTGTTATACTTTCCGGAAGGCTATTACGATGTTCTGGAAGGAAAAACAGCAGTAGTTTCATGTAAAACAATATGATGTATAAATCAAATCACTGCTAAGACTATTTGCAAAATGGCTCATAATTCTTCAATCCTCTCATTGTTTTTGATTAGAAATTGTAATAAATTTTTTTCTAGCAGGATCGATATGTCGTTTCATATTGAAATTCATAAGTATGATACGAACATCTATAAAAACTGAAAATAAAAAGGTTTACCCTTAAAATTACTGGGTCCAGCATCATCACGAAGTCTGGCACCATCTGATTTCGCATCACTACCACACTTGTCATTGGAATGCTTTTTAAAGCTGTCACAATGACTCATCGACAATATATCTTCTTTCTGATGACTTTCAGCTTGGGAACCCAATCCACTTGGACTTTGCACTTCGTCACCACTACTACCATAATCCGAATGACTCTCTGCTGTACTTCTTTCTTGTTCCTCAAACGAATAACTTTGAAAAAAAAAGATCTTTAATGTATTATATATTATTTCACATGAAATTTAAATACCTCTTTTCAGTAGATTATTAAAGAAACTTACAGTGCACTGGAAACATAATGAAATGTTAAAAAGGTTTGGATTTCTCAAAAAAAAAAAAAAAAACTAATAAACATTAACGGTCGTATTAATGTGAACTATAATTCCGATCCCAAATATATTACAAAATAAGTAGGCTGATAGTTTTGAGTTGAAAACCTAATAATATTCAAGAATATTAGAGAATCTTAAATCTTAAAGTTTGGATGCAGCTTGTAAGCAGTTGGATGCTTTACACGATTTTTACATCACTTTTGAAGAAAGACTAATGACAAACTTTAATCTAATAAAAAAGATAACATACTTCAATATTGAAAACATTACAAATCCGATCCAAGAGACCAGGAATTTCATGTAGCTGCCTGCGTGCAATCTGTGGTCGAAAAGTCCATGCATGATCTATGAGAAAAATGCTGAAAGAAAATAGATTTTGAAATATAAGCACATCAAATGTAAATAATAATTGTCAATCTTGTAAAATTTTCTAATTAATCAACTAATCATGTAATTACCAATCATGAAAATTTAGAGCCAAGTACTTTTATATCAAAATTAATATAGCTTGATACATTCGTCTAAATCATGCTCTTCTTATCTTTTAGTGGTAGTTCTTTTCTTTCGTCTGTGTTTCACTTCTGCCGGTTACGACCAAAAATATATTCTAAAACATGTACCTAACACGTAGCATGAAACACGCTTTCAACATCTCAAACTATTTCATCATTAAACTATAACATAGTAGTATCACTGATGATATAAAAGCAATTTAAATGAATTTTGCAATGTTAATTGAACTCCTAAATGATCTTGGATTCAAGATATGATCAAGTTTCATTTACCAGTTGGGATCGTCTATTCTCAGTGGTTGCAATGCCACAACTGTATAATGATGTTTGCCATCTTCATTAACTTCTTCCAATATTTGAAAAAAGTCACCCGCATCAAATATCTCATTGACAAGCTTTTCATGTAAGCGTCGCCAGAAGTGCTTCGGTACGCCCGCTGCTAGCAGCTGTTGCTGATGCCTCGATTCGAAACCCTCATATTTTTTATCATCAATGTTCCTCGTTCCCATTTCTTAAAATTGAATTTTACTTATATATTTAAAAAAAAAGAAAGATTCGGCAAGCTAACATCCTGCATAACCGTTTTTTGATCACTATACTCTAAATGCACATTCATAACTGATCATAGTGTTAATATAATGATAGTAATTAAGGATATCTATATGAAGTGTTCCCAAAGATTGCATATCAATTAATATTTTCATAACAATCACAACAAAACGTAAACATCCGTATAATTTGAAAATTCACAAATTAAAAATCACTAATGGTTCGAGTGAAATGATAATCAATCGAGAATTAACATGTATTCGCAATTCCAATCTAAGTAAACCAAAAAACACTGCCAATCAAGAATACTTCCTCCCCTTCTTTTCCAGTTTTATCATTCTATAACAGCACCATATTTTCTTTATTGCTCATCGATTCGTGTACTCTCCTCATTTGCTATACTCTCTTCTTGTTCGCTATGTGTATTTTGTAATCTTCTGTCTAGCATTTCCTACAATTTACCGCACTATTTTCTGTTTGCTATCAATCTCTCTCACTCTTTCCTCTTTTCTCTCTCCCTCTCCTTCTCTTTCTGTCTATGCAATGCAAAATTTATTGGTTCGGTAAACTTTCAAATCTCGCGAATTGTTTTCTATTTCTGATCTGATAGAGGGAATAAATATGCAACAATTATTGTAAATGCCAGAGAAAAACAACAAACAAACAATAAAATTTGATAATTAATCAGCAAAAGACCAATAACGGCTCGCATTCAAATTTGAGTCATTTTCAAAGATACTTTGTTATTTATTGGAATTTTGTTTGTGATATTTGATAGAAAAGGATTAAGAATTATTTCTCATCGATTACTAAAGTACTCAAACAATGAATAAATAACTTTCCAAAATATTCTCCACTTGAATCATGCAGCCTACACTCGCGCATATCGATTCATACTCTTTTCTACTATCATCATCTCCTCCCAATGCGGCTCATTATATCAGTATTTGAATTATTCATTTCGAATTTTTTATAGCAAGAAAATTGTTTCAAATTTACAAGCTGAGCTGAATTTTTAATTTAATACATTTTGCATAATTTTTATCGGGAATAATTTTTATATTGCGGTATCTTTTAATTATTATTATTACTTTTAATATTGCAATAGATATAAATATATTGTTTTTTTTTGGGTCATTTTATTTGCTACTTAAAATTTAGCATCGAAATTTAATGCTCAATTTTTATAATGTAAATTTGAAGTTTTTCAGTTTAAAATTTAGATTCAAAATTCTATGCATTTTTACGTATTACTTTATTAATCGATCAAGCTGTAACTTCTTTGCATGCTCAATTATCATTATATTTCTGGTGAAATTGTATATTAGGACAATTTGAAGGTTTGTATCAAATAGCTTAAAGCTGTTATTGAATTAATGGATACACTTGGTGACACTTATGTGTCATTCACACATGACAATAATTAAAAAATGGCTATATTTACCCGAGAAACGAGACATTAACAGATGGTCAAAGTCTTAGACTATCATCAAGCGCAGAAATTTCGACTAACGCTAAAAAAAATAAAGTCATAAAATTCATACTGTAAACGATGCAATAATAATTAATTTATCAAATGAAGAAATTTTTAAAAATTTTAAAATTTCATATATCATTTGATTTCTAGCAAAAAATTCTCGCGTTTTTTTTTTAAAGAACAAATAAATTTAGTGTAATTGTTGAAAACTTATTCATGAGAATTTCATTATAATCTGAAATGAATGAATGATGTCAGTAAAGCGAAGACATATTCGTTCATATGAAAATATCTTTAAAATATAAATGAGTAACAAAAAGATGTAACGATGAAAGAAATAATGATTGGAAATTAATGGATAATAATAAATTGTGATGAGATGGCTTTAATGTTTTGCGATATATTTTGTAAAAATTTTTCCATTCCTTAACATTTCCTAAAATAAATATATTTCATTGAAATTGAAAATTGATGGGGAAAAAGAAAATTGTAATGTTAATTGTTTTATTAAGAAAAAAAAAAAGAAATATTTACATTGAAAATATCTTTCTTCATTGATAGGATAGTTTAATTTCAATTTCATTACATTTTCCTTTTTTTTTTTTTTTCATTATTTCAGAAATATTTTTCGTTCTTGATAAAATTTCAGCTTTTCTTTTTTTTTTTAGTAAAATTTTTAGTTTTAGCAAAATTTTCTTTCGTTTAACAAAATTCACATCGATAGTGTATAATTTTTGTTTACGATAATAGAGATGTATCAATTAATTCGCTTTACTAGAAGGAGAGAGAGAGAGAGAGAGAGGGAGAGAGGAAGGGAGGGAGAGAGAGAAAAGGAAAGTGGACGTACTTGTTATTTATTTTTCGCTAGTTTAAATTGATCATTTTAATGAGATGGTGTAATTTACTGACAGGTGTGTTAAGATATTGAAGTAGGAAAAGGAAGTCAATTGTTAGAAAATTTTGATCTATCTATATTTTGATCTGAGAGTTTTTTTTTTTGGAAAAAACTGAATAGAAAAAAAACTGCAGAAATTATTCGAAAAATACTATTGTAGGTAAAGTTTTTTTTTTTTTTAACAGATAGCTATAATTAAATATTCATTCGTTTCCTTTACTAATGATGAGAAATGCAGAACACATATAATGATTAAAAAATTTATATTTTTAATCCATTCTAGCGGAAAAAAAATTACTTTCTTTTTTTAGATTGTAATTTAATGTTGCTATTAATTAATTTTTCAAGAGAGAATCGTATCGAATACAAAGCAAAGTTACGATGCATATTTTATAATCTAATCTGTCAAATTTTTATACTTTCCAAAATTTTCAAAGATTTAACATATGCTTAATGTGATCTTAACTGATATTTTTTGAAATGTAATCATATGATAAAGAAAGCAGTTGCTTTTCAACTAAATTAATTTATAATTTCATGTTACATAAAAAATCAGCAGCAATAAATTTGATATTGTTTGATAATAAATTTAAAATGTGGCAGTTAGCATATGGGAAGGATATCCGTCTAATACGAATGCTATGCTATTCGCTTTAACTAACATAATTTGTGCATGCAAATGTATGTGTGTGTTATGTGTGTTTATATGCGTGTGTGTGTTTGTGTACATGTGTGTGAATAAAAATTATTAAGTTTATGATTTTGTTTATGATTTCTTGAAATGATGCGCTGTGTGAATGAACCATCCATTAATGATACTCCATGGAGCTTCCTCAGTCTCTTAATAAATTAAATTGAACTTATTTATTATCCTCTTGAGAATCCTTTTTCGATTCAACCAATATTAATTTTACTTTTT